GCCATCTTTCTCGTTCTTCGCGCTCTCTGTCTCCTTCTCCTTAGCGTGTAGAACGCTGACGACGATGGCAAAGCAAAGGAAACCAGAGCACTGAGCAATATTTAGCACTGGTGGCCCGCCATTATCGTAAATCAACAACAGCTACACCCATTCTTCCATATCATTTCGAGCAGGCAGGGCGTGTCGACGGACAGACGGAAGGACAGACTTTCTTAGTGACTGTTCGACCAGCTAGTAGCTGTGACTGACTGGCTGACTCGTTCGTTTATAGGTTGATTGGCTTGCTGACTGACTGACTGACTGACGGACGGATACATTCATTCATTAGGTGAAAAACTGATTAGCCGATTGCATGAGTTCTATTAATTCACAAGTTTATTTTTTCATTAGCTTAATGATGTATCGTTAATTGATTGATTGATTTACTGAATGACTGCTTCATTAATTAATTCACTCTTACAAAATTATTAACTACTGATTATTCCCTAGTTAACTGATTAACTTTTGTATTTCGTTTTTATTGTTTGAATGATTCATTCATTCACTGACATGCGAATTGACCAGTTATTGCAGTGTCTGGTCCATGCGTTCAATTGAACCATTCATTGCATTGCTGATCTATGCAGTGAGTTATTTACTAATTAATTAATTCATCGGCTGACTGCCCTTACATTTATTTATTGCTTCAATAAATAACCGAGTTTCTTTAATTCACTCTGCTAGTAATTTCACCTGCAGATCACAGCGGCTGCACGGTCTGAGGCATTAACCGTCTTCGTCCGCCCGAACACTGGAGTCATGGGTTCGAATCCCACTCGAGGCATTGATGTCTGTGTTCGTTTATTCTTTGTTTATGTTGTTCTATGTGTAGGTAGCGGCCTTGAGACGGGCTGATCCCTCGTCCAAGTTGTCCTACCGACTGTGTATAGGATTAAGAAACTTAAAGTGGCCAGTGTTCAAAGGGCTGTAGGGCCATAGAGTGATGGCTCTACCAATTAGGCCAGATTCTAGTGAAATTAACTAAGAAACAAAAACAGACATTTTAAATCAACACCGTTACAAGACTTTTCTGCATTTTTCCCTATGATACGATTGACTCGCGATATATTTGATGCGTCTTGGGATGTAAGTCATGTAATGATTAGGACTAATGATTCGTAAAGGACACTGAAGGAAACCGACGTTGCCTCTTTTGAGGTAAAATCCCGTCATTTACGTGAAGGGACTGAAAGGCCGAGATTCGAAATATATACCTCTAGAATACGAGGAATGAATGCCAATTATCACACGGCGACGTTCTTTGTAGTAGGCTTATATTATATGTGTTTTGATATAAAAAAACAAACTCCGTGGCCTGTAGTCCGCAAGCGAACTATACCCACCGAGCGACCGCCGCTTGTCGGCGAAGTTAGTACCACCTTCAGCGGATAGAGGGTGTCACGTGGTTAGCGCAACGAATCCCCACGGCCGTTAATCTCGGTTTTCTATACCGGAGCTGATATTTTCTTCGAAATAGCTCCTCAGTTATCACGAAGCTGAATCGACCCCGGGAGCTCTGGATCTATAGCCAGGAACTCTGACCACAAGACTACAGAGGTTAATATACTGAATAATTAACCTTTGGTAACAGAATCGGCCGCCGGTCTCGGTAGCCGAGCGGTATAAGGCATGTACTGTCTTCGCTCGCTTGGAAACCGGGGTCGTGGGTTCGAATCCCACTCAGGGTATGGATATTGCGTTTTTCTGTGTGCGTTTTTCTGTGTTTGAGTACAGGTAGAGGCCTTGCGACGAGCTGATCACCCGCCTAAGGAGTCCTACCGAATGTGTAAGATCTAGAAAAACCGAAGTGAACGGAGAAGTTCATGGAGGTAGGCCTAGGCCCACTGGGGCTGTAGTGCCAAGGAAAACCAAACAAACAAACAGAATAACAAACTAACTTATATAAGACGTCAGAGAAGGAAGAATAAGTGACTGGCAGTCCGACACTGGCAGCCCTCTTCCTTGCGCAATCAGTTTGCTGGATTTTGCAGTTTCAGAAGACAGCGCAGCGGATCAAGTTGCAGGCTCCCACTTGTCACCACGTGATATGACGTATTATATTATGCATAACAGTGTGTGATTTGGACCATGCCACTGCTCGTCACTTGCAAATGCCCTCGGGTTATGAGTTGTGGTCCCATGACGGCCAACCTCAGACTGTGAGATCACACACCGCGATGCAACAAGCGAGTAGAATGTTGAGAAGTCGAGTTGTGTAGCACTGATACTGAAGCATGATTGATATTCAGCAAATCAGTGATGAATCTCAGAGCAGCGGTACGTGTGTGAATATTTGAGTGCGGTGACAACATGGAATTTTAAAACGGGGCGGCGGTGTAGATATTGATATCACTATATTATTCTACCCAATATGGAAGAAGCAGCAACAGGGCTTGAGAAAACTGCGTAATAATGGGCTTCAGAACCTGTACTCATCACCAGATGTCATTTGGGTGCTCAGATCAAGAAGAATTAGATGCACAGAACAAGCTGTATAAGGATACAAGTGGCATGCACTCCACTAGTGAAAACATGCACAAACATGGACGCCGCAAGTGGAAAATAGCGCAGGAACAGAAAAAGAGTTTTGTTCTCAAACAAATGTGTTTTAGAGTGAACAACGAAATTGCAGTAGCATGGAATACGTTGACTTACGATCTAGCGCAGTGCGACGGTTTCAAAAAGGTAACAATTGCCTGAAGACGGCCAAGTAAGGCCTAAACGTGTAGCAGTTGAAGGCGATTTTAATGTTATTTTAAATTAAAAGAGAGATTATGAACATTTTTTAAGTTGCATTAAAGACGGAGGTGAATGCAACAGGATGCTCAAATACAATATTATGAATAAGGAGGTCGTTGTGGCCTGCGTTGATGTACTATCACAGCCCTGAATCATGTGGGGACTCAGTAACTTGTCTCTTATCAGAACTGTGAACATTAACAGCATCCGGGCAGCTTACAGACGAGGTATTCAATCTGAAAACGCGTGATAATCGTCAGATAGAGTCCGTTCGCATTTCCCAGGTTGCAAGCAAACCGAGATTAACGACCATGGGGATCCGTTGAGCTGACCGCGCGACACCCTCTATCCGCAAAAGTTGGCACTAACTTCGTCGACAAGCGGCGGTCGCTCGGTCGGTATAGTTCGCTTGCTGAGTACAGACCACGGAGTTTGAAACACTAGAGCCATTAAGTACAAGGCCCTCATTTTTTATGGTAACAGATTTTCATGAAGTATATTCATCTATTTTTTTGCCTTTCCTCTTGCTCCCATTTTGGAGCACAGGGCCGATTTCTCAGTTTCATAATCGTTTTACGAACGGTAGGACTCCTTAGACGGGTGATCAGCTCGTCGCAAGGCCTCTACGTAAACACAGAACAACACAAATACAAAATAAAAGAATACACACACCAAACGTCCATGCCTTGTATAGGATTCGAACCCACGATCCCGGCTTTCGAGCGAAAGAAGACAGTACATGCCTCAGACCGCTCGGCTACCGTGACCGGCAGGCATACACCTGTTATGGTAGTATTCTTTGTAGAATTTGAAATTGGAACATGGCAGAAGCGCAAAATTTCTATTTAGATTTCTGTTTTATACCAATAACTCATCAAACGTTTGAACCGAGCAACCGCCGCTTTTCGGCGAAGTTAGTGCCAGCTGTAGCGGATACGGGGTGTCGTGTGGTCAGCGCAACTAATACCCATGGCCGCCATTTCTTTGAAATAGCTTCTCAGGTATCCTCACGAGACTGAGTGGACCCCGTTCCAGACCCACTACTTATAAAAAAATCTGGTAGCGCAGGAATCGAACCCGGGACCTCTGGATCTGTAGCCAGGAACTGTGATCACTAGACCACAGAGGCGGTCGAAGGAAAGACGCAAATAAGCAAATATAACTGGCACCGGTCGCCTTTGGTGACGCTGTGATGGACTCGACTCTAATGAGCGAGATAAGGAACTATGAATTTTTTAAATGTGCTCATTTTCGACTTGAGGGGACAGATATCGGCGATAAACCATAGTTTGTTGAGTGCTGCAGGGGCTGGGGAGCAATAGGCTGACAGGCCTCAAGAAACGCAGGGTCGCTGTTCGACGCTCTTGTGTGGCAAATATGTCACCCAGAGTAAGCAGCCCTTCTCGAGCAAATCGGAGGCAGGCATTTCAACTTGAGCGCCATTTTGACTTCACTCGGTAAAATTATATCTGATTCTTGTATTGTACTAGAAATGGACGCTAACAGTCCAGTTGCAGTTCGGAAGGCATTCTCGGCAAACATGAAGCCAGAGCCTCCGATGTCTCATGTCCATATTCATTACCAAAAATTATTACACATTCAGGGTTTCAAACGTTCGATCTTTTTGCTTGATCAAGTCTACGGTGACGAACGGTTTAAACTATAAAAGATCTTGTTGGAGCCAGAGAAATTTTTTTCCTTGTGTTTCTGAAACTGCACGAACCGAGCCACTGTTCGTAAAACTACTCAGAGAAGTCTCAGTGCTCGCTGGCTAGAACTAGCACTGTTCGTAAAACTACCCTGAGAAGTCCCAATGCTCGCTGGCTAGAACTAGCACTGTTCGTAAAACTACCCAGAGAAGTCTCAGTGCTCACTGGCTAGAACAAGCACTGTTCGTAAAACTACCCTGAGAAGTCCCAATGCTCGCTGGCTAGAACTAGCACTGTTCGTAAAACTACCCAGAGAAGTCTCAATGCTCGCTGGCTAGAACTAGTGCTACTGGCGAGGCCGATTGCAAACTGAAATTGTGCTCTACTCAGTAACAGACAGTAATGGTCTGATGTGATATGCAGGTACTGTGTTTTTCTGTCTGAAAGTTAATATGTACGCATATCCATGTTAATTGAAAACTATCCTGAGACGGAAAATGTCCGTGTGTCATGGCTTTCCGTCATGCACAAATTGTGCTTCACATCTGTAGCTGTGGTTATGTCTGTTCGCAGGGAGGCCACCGGCTCCCGCTGCCCGTCCCCGGAGTCTCGGGGCTCCTCTGTGCCACCGCGATGCCCGTCTCGCGAGTCGCTGTGTGCTGCAGTAACGGCGCCTGTCACCACCACCACGGCACCATCAGCCCCCGTCAGTCCGGTTGCTGTCACGCTGCCGCCCACTGCGGCACTTCTTCCTCCCCATTCCGCGGCCATCGCAGCATACCTCGGTGCCACAGCTGCGGCCCAGCACCCTCACCACAGGCTTCTCATGACCTCGCCAGTCCTCCCGCGTGGGTCTGTCTCGCCTCTCGTTTCCTCGTCCTCCTCTCCCCCAATCTTGCCCCTCCCTACTAATATTGGTATATCCCCACCACCTCCACCTCACCGATCACCGATGGAAGCAGATTCTGCCGTCCTGGATTTCAGCACGAAGAAGTCGCAAGGAGGTGGAAGAACGGTTCCAGCGAGAGACGAAGGTGACTCCGATTCTGCACTGAATCTCATCAAACCAACTACTCCAATCCTTCCTGCGGACTCACATCTCAATGGTCCTTTAGATCTGTCTGTACCTAGCAGGAAGCGAGGCATTGAAGACTCGACTTCCATTTCGTTATCAGTAGCATCACTATCTCCTAGTCCTCACGCACCATCCCGCAAGAATAGCCGCTTGTCATCAGAATTCAAACCGTCTGTAGTGTCTCCTTGGACATCTCCTGTAGTTGCATCACATTTCCCATACTTCGCCGCAGCGGTTGCAGCCAGCCTCTCTCCGAAGAACAACTCAGCGAATGCAAGCCACGGCGCTGGAGAAAATCCGCTCTGGAACGGCAAAATCAAAATGCACGAGAAGCAGGGCTCCCATTTCGGTGGTGTTCCAACTCCAAGCGACGCTACGAAGGCGCTAGAGAAAATGAGTGAACTAAGCAAACTGGGAGGCGATGACATGTTCAGGCCGTCTGTGAACAGTGGTGTGCCAGGAAGCGGAGGTAGCACAAGTGGCAGGCACAGTGCGTGGCAGTCACACTGGCTCAACAAAGGTGCAGACCAGGCCAAGGACGTTCTGAAGTGTGTGTGGTGTAAGCAGAGCTTCCCCAGCCTTGCAGCTATGACGGCGCACATGAAAGAAGCCAAACACTGTGGCGTCAACGTTCCTGCACCACCCATCCAGCCTCCACCGCCTCCTCCCCCTCAGCAGCCACCGACATCCACACCCTCTGTATCCACCAACAGCAGTGGTTCCAGTATTGGGGTTCCCACAACCACCAGCAACAAACCTACTACCGCTGACCTCAATTTGCTCATTAAGGAGACAATGCCATTACCTAGGAAACTAGTCCGAGGTCAGGACGTGTGGCTAGGAAAGGGCGCAGAGCAAACGCGTCAGATTCTCAAGTGCATGTGGTGTGGACAAAGCTTCCGATCCCTGGCGGAAATGACGAGCCACATGCAGCAGACGCAGCATTACACTAACATCATCTCACAAGAGCAGATCATCTCCTGGAAGTCATCGGATGACAGTAAGACTGGAGGAGGACCTGGTAGTGGCACAACTGCTGGAGGTGCGGGAGGTGCTAGCAGTCATGTGAGTGCTGTTCTTACGTGCAAAGTTTGCGATCAGGCGTTCAGTTCACTCAAAGAGTTAAGCAACCACATGGTGAAGAATTCGCACTACAAGGAACACATCATGAGATCCATTACTGAAAGTGGAGGTAGACGAAGACAAACTCGAGAGAAACGTAAGAAATCTCTTCCAGTGAGGAAACTTCTGGAGCTGGAGCGCGCGCAACACGAATTGAAAAATGGAGAGGGTGGCTTGATAATTGGGGGGAAGGTTATCCGGGACACAGCGCCAGCCGCTGGTCGAATAACTTGCGAGAAATGTGGTGATAAGATCGAAACGTCCATCTTCGTGGAACACATACGGCAGTGTGTGGGCGGCGGAAGCATCGGCAGCAACCAGAGAAACCTCCTAAAGAACGCCCTCCTGTCCAGTAGCGTCCTTCCCTCTGATGTTCCTGTCGTAATGGGACAGCATATAGCGGACCGAGAAAGCAGGAAAGGTATGAGCGAAGAGTCCACACAACCCACATCACGTCATCACAGATCCCCGTCTCTGGCTACGGACTTGTCTAGTGGAAGTAAAGAGGCCGGTACAGGCGGCACTATAGCTGGAGGAGACACTTCGTCACCATCGGTACTCAATGCAATCGAAAAGCTGATAGAGAAGAGCTTTGACTCCCGGACACGGCACGGTGGCTCTGGATATGGTGGTGCCCCTGGTGGTGTAGGATCTGCCCCCATGGGTTCCAGCATACTGAAACGTTTGGGTATAGACGAAAGCGTAGATTATACGAAGCCATTAGTAGATGCACAAACCATGAATATTCTGAGGAGCTATCACCATCACCACCACAACCAACAGCATCACTACAATAGAAGAGAAAGAAGTGGGAGTGAGTCCAGTTCCGTCTCAGACAGAGGTGGTGGCGGCAGTGGCCGAACAGAGTCTCTTACACCGGACCGTAAGTCGGATGCCGCTGTTGCTGATCGGCTGCTGAGCTCCACGCCCAGGACAACGCCAGAGAAACGGATCCAGACTCCCCCATCGGCGAAAATACCAAGCCATGACGAGTCAGTAGACGACGACGTTATAAAGAAAGAATTGGTAATGGAGGAGGAGAGAGATGATCCCAGGAAAAACAACCGTAGAGAAGTGATAGTAAAGAAGGAGGAAGTTGAAGACGGAGACGAGGACGAAGATGACAAGGGAAGCTTCCATAGCAACGGTCGGCAGAGGAGGGTGCTGACAGAGGATGTTCCTCTGACACCTGCGAGTGGCGGAGAGGACGGAGAGGACGGGGTGGACAGAAGGAGCAGTAACAGCGTACCTAGTCCGGTACTAAGTCCCCGGCAGGCCACGCCGCTAACCCCATTGGGTGCGGAGGCTGTAGTTGCCGTGCCAAGTAGCCCTTGCCGGAACAGCGCTAGTAGTCCGGCAAGCAGCGACCGCTCAGGAACTCCACGCAGTACCGCCGGCACCGACAAGAAACCCTCTGCAGCCGGTGGAACCAGTCTCGGTGCATTGTCGTCCATGTTTGACAGTCTGTCTGGTGCTACTGGAGGCGGGGACTCAGGTTCCAGTGCGGGGAGAAGAACCAGTAGCCACCCTCTGGCCGCATTACAGAAACTCTGCGACAAGACTGAAAGACATGGGGGCAGTGGGAACCGGTCATGTGCGTCTGCCGGTGCGGGCGTCAGTGGCAGTCATTCCTCTTCGTCGGGAGTGGCGTCCAGTCAGAGCAGTACTGGAGGTGGAAATGGTGGTGGGACGGCTCCGGGAGCCATCCTCGCCTTCAGTTGGGCGTGTAATGACGCCGTGATGACTGCTGACTCGATAATGAAGTGCGCTTTCTGTGATACACCCTTCATCTCCAAAGGGGCATACCGACATCATCTTTCCAAGATGCATTTTGTTAAGGATGGGGTTATCCCGGACCCCGCAGCGCTGAAGGCACAGCAGCAGCAACAACAGCAGACAGGTGGCACTTCCAGTGGACCGTCTTCAAATGCTGGCAAAGGAACAGGAGTCAATAGCAACTCATCAGTGTCTGCCGGAGCTAACAGTGTCGGCAGCGCCTCCGGGTCCAGCAGCGGCAAGAGTCCACAACAACAAGCGAACTTCGAAGAGAGTCCTCACTCCAAGTTTCTTAAGTACACAGAACTAGCCAAACAGTTGTCCAGCAAATACGTATAGCTATAGACTGCCTGACTGTGTGTACATATTCGTAATAACAGTGAGATTAACGCGTGAGACTGAATGAGAATGCTTCAGTGCGGAATTGTAAATTATTTATTCCCAGTTGTCATTCTTCCTCCCAGGTCCATGTAGATCTTGTAAAAAGACCCCCCTCCCTCCCTCTTCACTTGCTGTTGGTGTTCTAAAATTGTAATTTATGATTCTTAGTATTAAAGAAGGAACCTGCTCGGAGATGCGGTTGCATAGCAACCGTTTCAGTTCGTGCACAGTACAATGTGATGCTACCATATCTTGCAACCGCGAATAAGTCGTAAATTAAGAGTAATAATATTAGAATATATATATATATAGAATTCATTATTTGGAGGAATTTGTTAGGATCACGAGACACTACCGTTTCGTATTTGTGTCGCCATAACAGAAAATAATATAAAAATTGTGATGAATTATGTAAGAACTGTTTGGAACAAAGTTCATGCCGACCAGACCGTTCTCTTCCTCTTCTAATGACAGCGAAACGAACAGCCTGTTTATTACACGTCACAATTAAGTTGCTCATGTAAATGGTGAAATAGGTTTTTCGAGGCATGTTCATGCCATGGGGCGCATATTGTGTGTTTGTAGACGTGGTATGAGCGGGAAAGCACAAGAAAATGTAACAGAGAAATATGTAAGATTTGAGGCTTTCACGGCGGTGACTATNGATACTTAAGAAATAGTATTTCTCTCTTAAATTTTTAAAACATCTTTTAGCTGAAACTGCACGGTATGGGTCGTGTCAATAAGTATTTAAAATGGGAGATCACTGAGATTACATTCATAAGTAATTACATAGTATAAAACAAAACATCGTATACGTATGTATAATATCAATTTCTTCCTTCTCTGATTAAATAAAGGAAAATTAATTAATCTCAAATTTATGTATATTTAAAATGAAAATATGCAAGAAATGATAAACAAGATGTATACGCTAGCTCGAGTACTGAAGCTGAAAGCTCCCGTTATTTTGTTAACTGTTTATATATTTTTTTCCTTGCCTCTATGTTCATGGTAAAGAAACGCTCAAGCAATTTGCCTATACAGTTAGGAGTGTACGAAGTCTCCCATAATTTCAGAACAAGTTTGCAAAGTAGTATGACTTAATAAATCTATGAATTTACAATAATTTAATAAATATGAGAACACATTATAATTTATACGTTTCATTCATGGCCAAATTCATTTTATGAAACCTTCACTGTGCCACAACACGTTCTTTATAAATAAAAGCTGTAATAAATATTTACAAATCGCATGTGTTATTCTTACATGGATTATGAAATGCTGTAGACTTGTAACACGTAGGTACCAGGTTCGAATATCGGCCAAATCGGCTCTCCTGCAGATTGTCCTCATTTTCGTCACTGTCACCCAGTTAATACGGAAACAACACTTTGAAAGGGGCGATGACCTCAATCTTCCAAGTGTAACTTCTGACTTAAGAAGCTGGGGTAGTGTTATTATTCTAAACTTGTGTTTATCAGGTTGGGGTGTTGGCCTGGTTACCGTATGCTCAAACGGGTTGATCTAAGATTACTGTATTTTAGTCAGGCTTTTTCCGAAATGGTACCTTCATAGAGCCAAGTAGGGCCCTTCCGAATTCTTTCATAATGATCCTTCATCTGCAGTTGAAAGGCCGCGGTAACTAAGTTAATTAGAAGGAAATGAACTAGAAACAGAGTGTAATGCGTTGTCACCTGGCATTATGTCGGGTTAATATCCACACACACACCTCTTAGTCCAGTGTACAACATGGAAGATAAGAATCTTATGCTTTCCGAAGAGACGTGAAACTTATATCACCGTATTAGGAACTTTGTTCTAGATACTGAGATAAAGCAATGTAAACAGCGTCCGAAAATTTACCTAGGCTAGTGAAATGTATATGATCTTTTGATAAACTGGTATTAACGCTTCGTTACGTGAGAATTTCCTGTCAGTGTTTCCCATTATGTGGATATCGGAAGCTGGCTCTGGCTCTGGCTCTGGCTCTGCATTCAGGTGCAGGGAAAATTAGTTTACTTCATAAGCTCACTATGACATGCTTACACACCAATATAGAGGAAGGAATGGGATGTCTTAAACCACAAAGGTCGTTATTTATTTACAGGCAAGGTCAACAGGAAAGCGCGAGTAGTATTCTCTCAGACGAGAAATCATTTCATTTGCTTAAAATGTTATAATGTGGATATTATATCCGTCATATGATCCAGTTCATATAGACCTAACTACATTTCAACATTTCATTGTTCCTAGATAATGTACCAAATAGACCTCACAGCATATATCTCTGTTACACGAACCGGACGCAGAATCAACACCTCTCATCAGTAAGCCAACTGACAGTGAATAGTTTCCCCTTTTCTTTTGTCTGAAACGGACCCAGAGCCAACCTCTCTCATCAGTAAGCCAACTGATAGTGAATAGTTTCCCCTTTTCTTTTGTCTGAAACGGACCCAGAGCCAACCTCTCTCATCAGTAAGCCAACTGATTGTGAATAGTTTCACGTGATGGGCCCCACAGAATAGTTTTTCTTTTTATTTTTTCTGATACGAACCCAAAGCCAACCTCTCTCAATCAGTAAGCCAACTGATAGTGAATAGTTTCCCTTTTCTTTTGTCTGAAACGGACCCAGAGCCAACCTCTCTCATCAGCAAGCCAACTGGTAGTGAATAGTTCCCTTTTTGTTTTTTCTGAAACGGACCCAGAGCCAACCTCTCTCGACAGCAAGCCAACTGATTGTGAATAGTTTCCCTTGTTTTGTCTGAAACGGACCGAGAGCCAACCTCTCTCAATCAGTAACCACACTGATTAACCTGTAATGGGAAGTGCCCGAAGGAGATGGGCCCACGGAGTTTCCTAATACTATTAATGGTGTTGTTTAATGCGTGTTATTTAACGACGATGTTTTACGTACATAGATCAAGCAACGTGGTATATGTGGTTGTGATGAAGGGTTGAACGAATTTGGAAAAATAAGCTCGTAGCTCATTTGAAGGTCCTGTGATGTCATTCTCCTCAACAGGCGAAGGAAATGTACCTCAAGGCAGATAGCAAGTATAATGGCCGAGATTCGAACCTGAGGTACCCCAAGCATTCCCGTCATACAATATGTCCTATACCAGTGGTAATGAGACCCTTAAGGACTCAATTTTCGGACACCATTTGAAGTACTGTGATGTTTGTTTTATATACATATATAGGTAGGGGCGGGGGTAGGGGTCGCCGTGTTGATGTAGGACGAGCCTCCTCACCTGCCCGGCCCACACAGGGAGCTGGCATGACCGGTTCTGCGGTATAATGACGGCTGTCCACCAGTGATTTACAGGAGACGAGTTGTGGCGTCATGGAGCAACTGAGATGGAACTGCGCCCCTTCTCACAACACACATCTTCAGGTTGTGGTCGCTCAAGGTTCCACTACGCACCAAGTATACTCGGTTATGCTTAGTCCTTCATTACAACACGAATATTATTTAGGTTACGTTCTTTATAGTGGTCAGAGCTACTGGCTACAGACCCAGAGGTCCGGGTTCGATTCCCGGAGCTACCAGATTTTCTGAGAAGTAGTGGGTCTGGAACGGGATCTACCCTGCCTCGTGATGATAATTGAGGAGCTATTTCAAGAAAATAGCGGCTCAGATCTAGTAAATCGAAATTAACGGCCGTGGGGATCCGTTACGCTGACCACACCGCACCCTCTATCCGCTAAAGTTGGCACTAACGTCACCGACAAGCGGCGGTCACTCGGTCGGTATAGTTCGCTTTCGGACTAAAACCACGGAGTCTATTTTGTCTTTATTTTATAACATCGGTGTATCTGTGCCCCATGAACCTTATGCAGTCACCCATCTTAGTAAGTTTTAACTTCGTGAAAAAGTAATACTAACAGGGGATCTGCAGAAACTTCCAAGGAGAAAGCAACAAATCACCAATTTTGCAGGTCCCTAACATTTGGTATGATTAATGATGTTTGAAAATTATGTTACTGAGCATTTTGTTACAGAATGCAAAACGACGACATAGTCGCCGCGAGAAAGTTATATGCCTGCTAGTTTACTGTTTAATGGCGGCACTGCACGAATCAGTGGAACCCAAAATTTGTTTTGGAGATAGGTAAGTACTCGCAAACATGCCCACGAGTTCTGTGAGATATTGCTTGCGTGTCAGTAGTACCAAACGTGTCGATGATGCGAAATTTGAGATTGTCTAAAAGTTGAAATGTATTTCGAACCTGTAGGTAAAAAAGGTAAAGATGTCCTTGTAACAGGCCGTGGAGGCCCATAGGGGTGTTAGAGGTCGAGGCTTTCACATTTTCTAAACGATTAGGCACACAGATGGCGGTAAGTTTGTCAGTCTTACGCGGCGGCTGCTCTTCCCCCCCCCCCCAGGAATCCTCCTGGTACGCATTTATGTTGGAGGCTGAGTCGACCCCAGGGCCATAGTGCGGCTGGAAGGATTAGGTAAATTGAAAATATAATGACCTCATCGGGAAACGAACTCGCGGCCTTCCGGCTCGTAGCATATTGCCCCAAGCAACTACGATACCGCTTGAACCTCTACTATTGGGAACCGTGCATAGAAATTGGTGTAGTTCACCCTTTCTAGCCGCATCGCACTGGCTGATGAATTTTAAAAATAAAATTGAAGTGGAAATAACATTCTGAGTTTCCAGATCTTTGTATCTGTCCTGTGGAAGTGCAACTTTATATAGACGTATTTTACTGGGCCCTGATGATTCCGGTGATGATGACTGATGCGTAGAATGAGTAGCGGCAGGGGAAAACCAACCTGCTCGGAGGACAACCTGTCATGGCGCCACTGCGTGCGCAGCGAAGCACTGCCCTTGGTTCGTTCTGAAGTCAGCTGCAGCAAAAGAAAGAAGGCGTCTGTAGCATTCACATGCTGGCAGAAATATGGTATCCGAAATTACTGGCAAGTTACGATGGGCAGAACACGTAGTTCACAAGGGTAACAATAAACACTACATAATTATTTTGGAGAAAACTGCTTAATGAGAAGCTTCATAACTTTTACTCTTCTCCAAGTATAATTAGAATGATCAAGTCAAGGAGGATGAGGTGGGCAGGTCATGTAGCACGAATGGGGTAGAAGAGGAATGCATATAAGATATTGGTGGGAAAACCAGAAGGAAAGAGACCACTGGGAAGACCAAGGCGAAGGTAGGTGGACAATATTAAAATGGATCTTAGAGAGATAGGCCGGGATGGTAAATGGATTTATCTGGCTCAGGATAGGGACCAGTGGAGGGCTCTTGTGAACACGATAATGAACCTTCGGGTTCCATAAAATGCCGGGAAGTTCTTGAGTAGGTGCACATTTGCCTTCTCAAGAAAGGCTCAGCTCCATGAGTGAGTGAGTGAGAAAGTGGTTAGCAACGACCAGTTTTAATGCCGAGAAGGCTATGGGAGGATGGAATGAAGATAATTCTTGAGGCATCATGAGAATGGCTGGCGGTGAAACCGACTGAAGGCCGTGTTCATTGTCAAGCTCTGACTTACCGGTGTTGAACCTTCCAGTGTGGTAGCTATTTCACACCGGCCTCCTAGTCGTCCTTTCACGGGCTGATTTTCAGCTAACTCTGTCATCTGACAACCAACTGGCTCACCCCGATTGTATACGAGATGACT